AACGTCAAGCAGTCAAGACCTCCAATAATGCAAGCATACGTTCGCACGCATAATGATAAATGTATTTAAATGTACATTTACGAAGTGCAACCCTTAGAGTTTCTTGTTATTTCTTCTCAAAATCTCTCTGGAATTCTGTCTTACGAATGAGCAGTAGAGTTTAATCAGTACATCGAGTATATAACCAGAAATAGAGACGAAATAAGGTCCATCCATCCCTGGCAACTCATCAGGCAAATGGGCCTTATGCCATTTTTACACGTATCAACTCTCGTTCGCAACTAAAATCACAAATTAGAAAGCTGAAATACAACAGCGCCAACAACTGACCTGTGTGGTACGTCTCCGTATATTCCAAAAATATTCTCTAATTATTTTAATAAAGATAAAATCTCTAACTTTGGCGCGCTGTTCCATTCGGTGGTGTGGGAGAAATAGCAAAACATCTAATTACAAAACAAACAGAATCACATTTCATTGGTAATTAAATATTAAATAATATATAATTTTTCAATTTTCGTCCATTATAGCAAAGTTTCGGCGATTTGAAGTGAAACAATTGACGACATCCGTCAACTGTTTCGGATTCGGGCTGGCCAATCGGAGCGCAGTTGTCACCGTAATGATGTGGCAGTATAATTTTCAAACAAATTAAATGACGTTTCGTCTCTATTTCTGGACTCGATGAATCAGTATATCGATCTCAAATGTAATTTGGCTTACCTATGAAATAAAGATTATTCGACTTTGACTTAACCCTAACGGTGGTACAGCTTTGCCTTCGTTGATAGTACATATATGTTAAAGAACATCAAGGTCTCGGGACACATATTTAAAATATTTAATAGCTTGGTTACGATACCTGTTTTTAACTTTTGTTGACTGTAATTTGAATACAAAATGGAACTATTTTGTCGTATCTATTTGTTTTTTCAAACAAGGTTACGTCCCTTTACAGATCCATGGTCCCGACCATAGATATAGAAATCTATGGTCCCGACTGATTTACATAAGAAAATAAGTTACTCATTTCCCGTCTAGCAATTGAAGCGGGTGACGGACGTAATTGCGTTGTCCCTCAATTCTTTGCGATTTAAAGCTCTCGGTGACATTAGAACTGCTACGGACAGGTGTGTCGCTTATCTCACCAGGCGCACGTGGTATCATAAAAACAAAATTGCTAATACCTAATAACTTGATACTTAATTGAATCTTTTTAAGTATTGTAGTGAAGCTTCTATATTTCCCCACGATATACAAATACTAATTCTGGAAAGTTCTTAGTAATTTTAAGACACATTTTGATGGAGCTAGTTCCTTTTAAAATCTTAACAGCCAGTCCTATAAGTCACCAGGCCCTAACCCGGGGGAATGACACCTACAGCGTTACTAAGTAGATTACAATAAAGATTATATGACAGAAATAACTTTTTTTAACCGACTTCAAAAAAGGAGGAGGTTCTCTATTCGATTGTATTTTTTTGTATGTACGCTGCGAGATAACGCATTAGTCTTTTTGGAAAGAGGGTTCCTCAATATTGGTCCCATTTCAATAAATTTGAAGGAAATATTCCACCTCTAACTGTGGCAATTAGAGGACGAATCCGGTTTCGCGTTCCATGTCCCATGTGCCTGTAAATTCACCAGCACCCTTACTCTTTTAAGCCGGAACTCAGTAAAGCTCACATTAATGCTTGGCGGCCGAAATATGTAAGGTTCCCTAGACGAACTCTTTCACAAGGAGCTTCTACTGCTGCCAAAAGATGAAAATTTATACATTAAGGATACTTTATAGAAATTAACAAGAAAAAAATACTACTTAGTAATGGTAGCGTAGCCTTTGTTCATTCGTTAACAAAAAATTCAAGCATTCATATATAAGTAATTTACATTTAAAAAAACTATACTTATTTGAAAATTGTTGTCAAAGAAATTGTAATTTTATTTATTTGAAATCCATATATTTTGTCTACAATATTCAGGGTCGCATTCTAGGACTTGAATATTATTCATAGCACTAGAAATCATACTCAAGTCCTTGTCATTAGGATCGTATTTCCAGTGCTTGAAATCATACTCAAGTCTGCTCAAATCCTGACTTGAGCATTGAGTACAGTTCTGGAATACGACCCTCAAAGTGTGTTATAATTTTTCTTATCTTTCGTATGAAGAAATATTATTTGCACCTATTTTTTTTCTTGGAACGGCTTAGCTTTCTATCTTTTCTATTACAATACAGTAATAAAACAATTAACATTTCTAGTACTCAAAGCGGACTTAACGATATTAGTCCATCGTACGAGTCACGGAAGCGCTAAATGCTTTTTCTGAATTCTAGTTTGGAGTTCTTAGGTTTTCGCGATTGTTACACATAGGAAATTAAACTATTTTTCAGCATTTAAATCGCGTATATTTGTTTTTTTTTCAAACAAACCAATGTTACAGGCCCTTTACAGGTCCCATGGTCACGGTTGACTGAGGTGGTATAGTCATCAACCAGTTATGTCTAATATTAATGCAAACCAGTCTATTTTTTCGCTATAGTTACAAAAGTTATTAATTAAATACCTTATTTTTAGTTTTAGAAAGAAACATTCCAATTTACGCTACATTATGTTTTGCGTATTATTTTATTTTAACAATATGAATTTTTATTAAGTTAAATTTATTATTAATTAATAATGGAAATTAGAATAAATTAAAACATATTAATTAGTATTGCAGTCTGTTTGAGATTTTTCATCAGAGGAAATACTGGATCCCAAACTGGTGGTACGGAGAAACCCCCTTCCCTGCTGCAATTAGGATGTTTTTTAATTTCAATGGCCTTTCGTAACGCAAACGTCGGTTTGTTTGAAAAAACAAATATTCGCGATTTAAATCCGGAAAAATAATTTCACTTTCTAGTTTGAAATTATTTCTTTACTCATCAGGTCATTTTTTCACTACAAATGACTTCGTAAAATATCGTCCATTATCTTACTAATTCAACAAAATTACTTTCGCATAAAGATCATCAAGATGAGAATTAAATGTCTATACAACCTCAAATGCCTTTGGTTGATTCCACATTACAGTGAAAGTATTGAATTAATCATTTTGGAAAAAATATATAGTATAAAATTGAGGATATAACACTGAATTCCATACGGTGTGAAAACACGATTCGTAAAAATTTTCACGTAGAAAAAAAACACAAATTTACCTCGAAATTTCACAAGAAAACCGCTGTATATAATAGGTATTTTACAACAATATATACCAATGGTTTGTTTTTGTATCAACTGAACTAAATAGGACACGTGTACTATACGATATACATTTTACAAAAGACTTTAAATTCCGTTTGTAAAAAAAATAAATTCTGAAATAAAGGAAATATCCCTACCGCTCAACCCAATCAAAATTAACCATATTAGTACGGGAAAACTTTGGATTCGATGTGAGTTAGTATAGACTCTTAAATGCCAACGCGTAAAAGTATTTAAACTAGTAGTTTGTTCTATACAGATGGCACGTGCGTTACCGAGACGGGTCACTTTTTTGTCGTATTGTACTCTATAGATGAAGCGATAAAACAAATTCGAGCCAATAATATTTCGCCAACTTATAATTTGTAACTCTGAATGTCACGCCTAAACCACAGAACCAATTTTGATGATTTTTTATATAGAAATAGTGGAGACCTAGGGAAAGGATATAGGCTACTTTTTGTGAGAAAACTAAATCTTAAAAGAGGTGGAATAAGAGGCGAAATTTTGTATAAAAAACCAATAAAACTATGAAAATTATTATAGTACAGTTGGTTATTCGGAGTACTTATTCGACGCAGGCACTAGTCAGTCTTTGATAACAAGATTACGAAATACGATAAATAATAAAATTTCAAACTAAATTTAAATTAAAACTAACGTATGTAGTGCTAGTTGTGTATAGCATTTGACTGATAAATATTATGACAAATATTATGACATATTATACTGTATAAAAAAGGCAGTATTTTTTTTCAATTTCCGAAAAACTTCCGCTTTGATTTAATCTTCTTTTTATAATACCAAGCGACACGCCTTTTCATAACAGTTGCAGTGCCACTTAAAGCTTTAAACCGCAAAGATCGGTGGGGCACTGCCACTAGGCCAGTCACCCTGAGACATACGTTGACAAGTCCCATGTGCATGTAATTTCTACAAATTATTTATTTTTGAGAGTCCAAAATTATCCACTAACATGTTATTCTAAATTGTAGTATTCGGACTTGACATATTTCTATTCTTTGTATTTGGTTAACTTTAATAATAGGTTTGATGTATTTTAAGTACTGGATAGGACAAAAATAACCCAATAATTATTCTACATTGTAAGTATACCGCATTAATAAATTAAACGTTATGGTCTATAGGACGCGTATCTCATTAGGGTTTTAAAATCACCTCTATCTCGTATAAATTTCAGTCGAAACTACAAAGCGAAATGCTCAGCTTATTGTTGACTATAATTGAATTGGCTACGGCATCGAATCTTAAGTTATACAAATTTATAATTTTACCAAAAGCTTAAAGAAAGCATATAAAGTTCAATCCAATAGCTAAATTTGTTCAACTCTGAAGTTGAAAAATCAATTCTAGAGCTGAATGAGAAATAAATTACTAATTCATTCAAGAACTCAATCCATTTCCAAAACGTTACCTCATTGAAAGATTTCATTCTGAATTAATCTTAACGGCACTATTTAAAAAACGAATTACTTTTCATTGCTAAATTGAGTAATAACTCTTTAAAACCACGTCATATATACTAAATTGTCATATACCACTTAAATATGAAACTATGTAAATCCTCACCCTGCACGAAGCCACTCCACTTAATTCCCAACCAGAACACTAGACAACTCAGCATACCGCATAACAAATATCAATCCAGTATTTTCATTAAAACAGCCTTTAATATGCAAATTTCAAGCAGCCGTTACCTTTAATAAAAAAGCGTTGTTTAAAACTAACCTGCAAAATGGAAAGGTCATCGTGTGTTGTTTTGCCAAATTGGACAACGCCGACTCATAATTATTTAACACCATAATTCATAATTACACTGACAATAAATTAGAAATTCATAATTATCTCTACAATTATTAAATACACTTTTGAATTAACACTAGAATTACACGTAGCACATTATACACTTGCACTAAAGTCGTAGGTAGTTCGTTGTTCGTCACAGCTACGGCGTAGCGTACGTAACGGCGTGCGGCGAGCGACTGGCAGCTACGCGCAAAGAATGTAGGGAGTTCTCAGTTGGTACAGTCGAAGAGTTTTAAATTACACCTACGACATCATTTTGCTTTATAAAGAGCTACTAAAATAGTTTTTATAGTTATGTTATAATGATATGCTTATTTCAGTAGACCTTTTTCTATTGCGATTCTAGCTTATTCTACGAATACTTTTTTGGCACCCAGTTATCGTATTCGTAATTTGTTTACTTATTTGACTATAGTTGAGCGGTTTCGTTATATATCTACATCAAGCAGTGTTAATCATTTTTGTGGAGCTTGTTTTAGAAAACATTAACAGAGATAACCGAAACAACACAGTAGCAAGTTCCATTTGTGGACATTCAATGTTTTGATGGCCACGTGATAGTTTTGAACTTTTCTTTTTTAGGATGTTTTGTATATCTATTTGATTATGCTCATACTATTTTATACGACTCGATGAGGTCACTACGAAGGTGTCTTCCAGAATAAAAAAATTTGACCAGGAGCCCTCTGGAAAATTACGACATTAGAGTTGATCTTATTTATTAATTACGAGTGCAGTTTTGCTAATTATATTAATTTCAATTGATTTCAATCGAGAAATATGTCCACAAATAAAAATAACATTTTATTAGTGTCGTTTCTGAAAGTCAAACAAATTTAATATCTTCATAATCTTTGACTCACAGAAACAATGTTCTTAGAAAGTTAATCTTGTAAATAGTGCAAAACTTTGACAGCATTTTTCGTGAATGTGGAATTTGGCGACAACGGATTAATTTTTTTGCTTGTTACTTTTAACTCGCTTGAATATTTAATAGTTCGGAAGGTTTAAGGTAGTTTTACTGTTCAAGGAAAAGGTAGGTTACCCTGTGTTACCGTTTCTGTCAAATTTTATAATTCAAATTCTTATTTGAATTTGTACCGTAATGTAGGTATCTTAGAAATTAAATTCATACATGCCACCACAGAGCTTTGACCGGTCGACCTCTCATTAGAGCAACCGTTCTCTTACAGTACACTTCCCACTGCTGTTATTAATTGTACTTACACAATTTATTTATTTCTTAAGAAATAGGTACAATAAAAACAAAAACCAGACCGACATTCACCATCTAGGTAATAAAATATATAAAAAATAAGAAAACAAAGAAAAAATTAAACAAATTAATCATGTAGAAATCAGGCTATTGTAGTTATTTTCTTACAGTTTATTATACTTACAAAGACAGACTCAATCATAAGGATTGTTTTCTTTTAAATATCATATTTCTAAGATCTTGCATTTGCCCTGGCGTAGAACAAATATAGGCTTCAATTCACCTATTAATAGAATATGTAGAAGCTACAATGATTTGAGAGGTACTTGTGATGCGAATATTTTTTCTGACTCTTTGTCAGTATTTAGGCGAAAGCTAATGTCACATTTTAAATTAACACTAGCAGTATTATAGAATGTAAATGTAATATTGTACGTGTATGTAAATGTCTATTAATCTATTGCTTTGTTTTCGCTTTTGTTTTTTTTTTAATTTTCAATTTATGTAAAAAATATATTAACCAAGTACATTTTTCTTTTTTTTTTTTAAAGCATTGTGTAAATATGTCTGTGTTGATTAAATATGTATAGTGCAGTGTATAGCGAATATTGTGTACGTCTGTAGTTGTCATATGCACCAGTCCTAGCCTCGTGTCTAATTTTTGTTGATTGTCAAATACATATGATGTTGATGTGCCTAATAATAATAAATAAATAACATAGCATCTTAAATAAAAGGAAGACCATGAAATTGAACATTTAATTTGAAATTTTGTTCAGGAAAATGAATGAATACCTTTCCTCTGACTTTGCTGCTCTCTTATCAACTGACATTATCATTTCACGAATTTGCAAGATACTTGCACGTTTATATTCACGATTGATGATGATCTTTGCGATTCAAAACTCTGACACTGAAACTGCTACGAACGGGAGTGGTAACTTAATAGCACGAGTTGTTCCTCCCGTCACTGGGTAAAAAAAAAATTACTATAATTATTAATACAAAGCTCGAAGACTCAGAAAAGCTTCGATCCGGGCGTATTCGAACCGACGTCTTCTAGCATACCGTGCCAGACGCTATACCAACTGAAAAGGTTGTAAACACTAATAAGCCGACACGGCAATGAAATAAGAAAAGTTCAGGTCCACGGAAATTTATTAAGTTGTTGGTAAAGAGAAAAAAGAGGCTGTAACAAAAAAAGGTAAATAAAAACAGGTATAATACTACAAAACACTCCCTAACTTAATTACATACGGGTATGCTTATGGATGAATATAAAGTAGACTCTTGCCCTAAAAGGGCCGTGTTATACTGAATTAAGATATTGATCTTAAAATTGGTACATGATTAACAGTAGTTATTACAAATTGTTATCAAAATTGGCACATGATTAGTAGTAGCTATTTATTACAAGTTTTTATATTTATTATATTACATTTGTTTTTTAAGCTATTTATTATTACAAGTCTGGTAAAGGAATCAATATGATACGCAATTGAAATTTAAACAGCACTGTACACTGCCGAGTCCCAGAGAATGGTGAGGCAAAGAAATTATTAAAGAAAGATTCACAATTTAAAGACTAGTGGCCAGGAGTCGGAGAAAAGGCGATAAAAAAGTCTCATGACGATGTAATGAGGTCACATCGTCACACAACTAAGCAACGGAACGAACCATCGGACCTCACGAATTTTTCTATGTGTTTTTTGTCGAGTCTTCGTGTTTGTTTTTTCAACGACCTTTTAGCCGTAGCGCTATCTATGAGAAATCTTAAGTATTTCGTCAGCGTCTGGCACGGTATGCTAGAAGACGTCGGTTTGAATCCGGCCGGATCGAGGGAATTTTTTCTGAGGATTCGATCTTTGTATTAATAATTATAACAAACTAGTGGAGTAATTTCACATGAAAACTAATTGAATATCAATTCAATAAAAATTTTAAATACTGTTTATAACACCAATACACAAAACTTAACATAACAATACGATGTAAAGAAATTCAAATAAATGTCAAAACTAGTCATACATTTCAGTCCACTTCAATCCAGTAACGGTAAAAATGAATGTCCGAAATTCCTATCCAGCATCAGTTATACAAATTACCAAAGAACTTAAAATCTAGATTTACCGTTACATCTGTAAGTGATTTATCAATTTTTAATGTCATTGCGCCGCCCGCAGTGCTCACATTTGACCTTTCTCCAAATATTCTCTACAGCGTACTCATAAACAGTCGCGCATGTTTCAACAAATATTCATAAATAAGTTATTAATTCTCTATTTCATAATAAATAAATAAATAACACACACACTCAATATAGCCCCGCACTAGGGAAACCCTGTGTCACGGATGCCATGGACACACACATAGACAACCACAAATTACACCCAAACACGCGAGAGAAATAATTGTAGGCCATACATTAAGTTAAGTTAAATTTGATTTTTAATTCGGGACTTAATCACGTATAAAACATATTTTATTTACCTCGACGTTTCGGACGTATTGCGTGTCGTGAGTGTTGTGTCGGTATAGTGAGAACCCTAGTGCACAAATAAATAATGAAAATCAAGTTCATTCACGATTCATTTCGATATAGTATACGATTTTCATTTTTAGCATGGATTTAATTCCGTTTGTAAAAAAATAAATTCTGTAATCCGCGCTATAGAACCGATTCAGTATGAGAAAAATTTTAATTCAAGCTGAGGTAGTATCAATACTTAAGAGGGAGCATGCCAAAAAAGTTTTGAAGTTGGCTCCGTCCACATTTGTGAAACAAATATATGCCTGAAGTTCGCGTGACATGCGACAGGAGATGTTGAATTTTGCGCATTAAAAGTACCAAATTCGTTTTAGCGGAATAACTCTAAAAGTAAAGGGATAAAAAAAATCCGTAGTGACAGTTGTCGATCATGCATAAATATGCCTCTGTGGCCGAACGGTTACCATGCCGGACTGCCAAGCAGAGGTCCCAGGTTCGATTCCCGGGCCGGGAGAAATATTGTATGGCCTACAGTTATTTCTCTCGTGAGTTTGGGTGTAATTTGTGATTGTTGTAAATTGTGATGTGTGTGTCCATGGCACCCGCGACACAGGGGTTTCCCTAGTGCGGGGCCTATGTTGAGTGTGTGCGTTATTATTATTATTATTAATTAATTATCTAATTTTTGTCCTAATAACCTGTAGCATTTCGAGGATGAATCGAAAAAATGTGAAAATTAGAGGTCATTTCGTGATTTTTATCTATCGAGGACACTTTATTGTTTTATGTTTCTGATTAGTGTTTATGCTTGAATATATCGTGTAGTTACACATACAATATTTTGTTTTTAACTTTAAAGTGGATATACCCCTCTAAAATCAAATCGAAGATTAGGAATTTTTCCTCTGCTCTTTTCTTCTTAAGGATAAAAAGAATCATTGGTTTATAAATGACTTTAAGACACGTAGTATAACATACTAATAGTGTGGAGTTCTTAGGTTTTCACACACATTGGATATGAAGCTGAAATTGGTAACCATCACCGTCAGCGGTGACCCTGGAGCCTGTAAGGCTCAAACTGGACGGCTGCTCTCCGGTTTGCGGGACTTGATCAGAACGCCGTGGGGGACACTGCAATTACGCGTAACTAGTATTTAATTATGAGTTTCCATTTCGGTAATTTAGTGGCCAAATCATCCGCGTAAATATGTTGGCAAACAAATTAGGGTGATTACTGGAATCTATTGTTATAAATTAATGCTTACTGTGTAAAAATGAAAGTAGCTATTGAAATCTACATATATGTGATTGACAAACATTATTACTGGAAAATATCATTTCGGACTTCTGTTAGGTAACCCTAACAAATATCAAGCTAGAATTGGGACCACATTCTAATTATGTCCGAATAGTTTTATTGTTCTTCTCTATGTATTCATTAGTAAGACTTCTATT